TGTTTCTGAAGTACATGCCTGGCATATAGAACTTTTTTCAATAAATGAAAGCTTTGTTAAAAATCACATAAAAGAAATTCCTCGATGTGTGTTGCTTTATAGAACCCTAGGAAAACTTTAGGCAAGTGGACACCAGGGCTTTCCATTTTAAAATCTCAGGGATAATGCTTTCCGCTTCACAAATTGATGTGCATTTAAATGACTACATCCTCATTCATATCTTAAATGAGTACAAGAAAAGAAAGGAAACAGCAGCTGGACTTCCCTACTACGATTCAAGAAGTCATAAAGGATGAGAGATTGATCTGAGGATCAGCACTGGAGATGAGAGGGAAGGGCCAGGAGACTGTTTTATTATAAGCATTTTCATCCTATTTGATTCTTTACCTTTTATTTGCTAAAAATAACAAAATCAATGTTTTGAAATGCATAGGGCCAGAGCATAGAAAAACTACTCATCTTCTTCGGGGTTTCCAAAATAAGAAAAGAAGTATTTGTGAGGACAGCAGAAAGTCCTTGGCCCCAGAAAGGGTGAGAGGTCATGGTTCTAGGAATGGGAAGTATAGATGGTATCAGAGGACTTCACACAATGAGGACCTTTGAATGCCCAGAGAGCACGTGGGATGGGTCCTGTGTTCCCAGAAGCAGTGTCCAGGCAACGTCAAGGACACCAGGTGGAGAGCAGTGTGGAAGTTTAGTTTCTGATTGGCTCCGCTGGAGCTGACCTACCTTAAAGCTCACTTTCAGGACAGAACTGTGAACTCCAGTTGACTATGTATGAATATTTCCTTCCAGGTATCCCCCTAGGTAGGGGGGGAATCCTTACCAAGTCAAGGCTTATCTGAGGTGCCTTTCACAGAGTCATCATCTCCTTCTGTAGGAGACCGCAAGAAGGCATTTTCTCATGAATAGGATATGTTTCGTCAAAGCATTTTCCACTGATGTTTTTCAGACACTCGTAGACCATCCTGCAAAGGGCAAGAGAAATAAAAATTCATGGATGCTCACTGCTTCAAGCCCAGGTACTTGTTACCAACAAACTACTTCTGAGCATCTACCATTCAGGCACATGAGGGACCTACTGCTTAGTACAAACAAGTCTACATCCAACTAGACACTACCATGAGTCAACTCAAAGCTACTGGTATAATTCAGAATGTAACTACCTCCCTTCTAGAAAGAACAGCTAATACATACACAGAAAAGGTACTCTGTGTTATAACTACCTGATGAATGGCTAGAGAATCAAAATTTAGTTCTTTTGCTTTCTGAGACGTTAAAATCACAATTCTCTTCTTTCCCCACTAGACTGGTTTCTCTCCCGGGCCCCTTTTTCTTCTTGTAGTTAGGGATATCCACCTGGAACAGTGGCTCTCCATGTATAAGTATATATCGCTACTGTAGTAACAACTCATCTACTTGAAACTCAGTTTCATGGAACTTAAAGTCTTTGAAATATATCAGAGAATTGAGAAATAAAGAAAATTGCAAAGAAAATGGTGTGAAAGAGACTATGAACCAATAGATCTCTCTAAAATTCTAACTCAGGGTTCATTTGTTCATACCGTGCTCCGGTTTATGTTTTCTGAGAGACATAAAGGTATCTTGCCAGAGATACTATGTTACTTGGACATATGAATAAAATACCCTCGAGGAATTTACAGTTCTAATAAGATTAGCTAATCTGGTTTTGTGGCTACAGAAGAATAAAAACAGCAAAATAGAATTAAGAAAGAATTCCCACACAAGGCACACAGATAGCGGCAAGATCCAAATTATTTTTGGTTCTATTCTTAACTCAGAGTAACTTGAGGCCAGTCACTCAAACTGGGGGTATTCATTTGGATTAGATTATTTTAAAGCTCCTATTTCATTCTCCTAGTCTGTGAATATAGTTTTTAAAACAGTTGACAATCTGACAGCAAGAGATAATTTTTTTAAAAAGGCACAAGAGGTAAAAAAAAAAAAAAAAAAAACCAGCAGTTAGGAATCCTTTACTATGGCAGCAAACCACTCTACCCTCTGCAGTAGGCTATATCATGACACATTACAAATAATGTTCACAACAGCCTACAGGGTAGAAAAGCCCAGACAGAACAATGACATGTTGTTATGTTTACATTCTTTATCCTATCATTTTACCTTTCTCTCTCTCTCTCTGTTTTTTTTTTTTTAGAAACAGGGTCTTACTATGTTACCCGAGCGGGCCTTGAACTCCTGAGTTCAAGGGATCCTCCCACTTCAGCCTCCCAAGCTGGGACTACAGGCATGTGTCACCACACCTGGCTATCCTATTCTTTTTAATTCATTAACTAGTTTATTATCCATGATCCTCCACTAGAATATGTGTTCCCTATTAGCAGCATACTGTCTGTCTTGATCCCTGAAACAGTGCCTGTCATATAGGAAGTTTTCAGTAAATATTTTCGGAAGAAATAATCTTCCGTTTTAACAATTTTTGACATTAGCATTCAGTTTATAACCAACTTTCTGGGAATTATTTAGCTTTATCTCTAAATTAACTGGTTTATAGCCACTTGGGATATTAAATTTAAAAAATAAATATATCAACTGGTTTAGCTGTCACTGTCTATACCATAACTTCCCCTTCCTTGGATTCCTAATTTTGATTATTTTTCAGTGAGTAGGTATAGAGCTTCCCTGTGATTTATTTAAAAATGGAATGGTATGGGGAGTATATTGTCTGAACCATTGTATATCTAAAATTGTCTTTCATGCTTAAAAGATAACTTGCCAGGGTATACAATTCTCAAAAATGTCTAAGCGTGGTATTGTACATTCTCCTGGCATTTAGAGTTACAGACTAGAGAATTCACTTTGATCTATCAGGTTGGAACACCTCATGGGGAGGTGTTCCCACACTCCATGAGGTGTTCTAATAAGAATGAGAGTAGAAAAAGAAAATAGAGACTTCTTTTCATTTATTCTTGCTTTACCCTTAAAGACATACAGTAATGGGGATGGCAAGAAGGGGAATAATTGAAGAGGTATTTAGAAGTTAAGTTTAGAGAACCTGGTAATTGACTGTTTTGGAAAGCAGGTGAGAAAGAGGTCTAGGGTGGCTTCTAGATATCTTGCTAGGGTTACTTGCCACTTCTGCTTCAAATTTGGGTTTAAGATTAATATAATACTTTTGAAATTATCTTCCAACCTCTCTCCCTCATCATCATTTCAATTTGTAACTGGACTGTATCTTGAGGGTCATTCAAAGTCCTCACTAACTGGAGGCTATAACCTTGGAAATGCTAGGAGAGTTTGACATTCACCAATTGTTCTTAATACACCCCTTTCTTAGTGATTCCTTCCTCTGAATTTTTATTGTACTTTAATCAAATTTCTATTACTAATTATCACATTGTATTGTAATTGAAATAGATTGCCTGCTTGTCTGTCTCCATTGGACCAGGAGCACCTCAAGGGGTATAGCGTTAGATTCATGTTTTTATCTTCAATACTTGGCACTGAGAAGAAACTAAATGAGGGCCGGGCATGGTGGCTCATGCCTGTAATCCTAGCACTCTGGAAGGCTGAGGCAGGAGAATAGCTTGAGGTCAGGAGTTCAAGATCAGCCTGAGCAAGAGTGAGACCTCCCATCTCTACTAAAAACAGAAAAAAAAATTAGCCAGTCAACTATTTAAAAAAAAAAAGTAAAAGAAAGAAAGAAAAGAAAAGAAAGAAACTAAATGAATTAGTGGTCATTTATAAGAAACATACATTTACTAAAAAACAAACCAAAGAAAACCCCTCCCTTTCATATACAAGGGATTTGTGAAATTGCTATATTTGAAAACACTTGGTGGGGGGGAGAAAAAAAAAGAAAGCACTTTAATTACCAAAAAACACAACTAAAGCAGACTCTTTAGAATGTCTCCAATTGTTTAATCATTCATTCGTTTATTCATCAATGTTGTATAAGGTATCAGGCATCGGGCTGGGCATTGAAGAAACAGAGATGAATGAAGACAACCAGCTTTGCTGTTGCTCAAGGAACTAAAAAAGAAACTGCACCTCACTTTGAGGTCCCATCACTTCCCCTTGAGCGCCAAGCCTGACTTTGAGACCACGCAGATTTGTAGAGGAGCTTCAGGGGGCAGGGCCGAGGCCCCACTGGTCTTATCAGCCAACCAGTAGGCAATCAATGCGTTATTCGTTGAACGAAGATGAAAACGGTAGTCATTTTCATCAAATGAACTTTAAAATAGAGATGATCGAAATTCAGTTGTATTTTTAAAAATGTTCCGAAGCTCCAGTACTATTCCAGAGAAACACATCAGCAACATCTTAGCTGTGAAGATCGGCCCTCTAAAGTTGAACCCGAATGCAACATAGGGATTTATTACTATTTGGACTAAATCTATCTGAACAAGAGCGTTCAAGTCCAGAAGAGTCGGAGATAGACAAGTTTTAGAAATAACACGGCCTCTGCATTGGAGGGCGTGTAAGATGCGAAAATAGCTGAGAGCGGAGGCGGCCCTAGCCGGCAGAAGGTGACCTCCTCTTTGGGGGAAGCGGGGGAGGGCGTGCGCACACTGGAGCCCTTGTCCTTGAAGGGGATTGAGCGAGCCGAGGGGAGGGGTATAGGCGGTGCTCGAGTTTCCAATCACAATGGAGAAACCTCAGAGGCTGCGAGGGGTGTCGGGCCCCGCCTCCTCCTCCCTCCTTGCGGAGCCGGCTCCCGAGGAGACGCGCGCAGCTGACATTGTCTTCGCACAACTATTGCAGCGGGCCCCAGAGCTTTCTCCCTCCTGGTAAGTTTCAGCTCAGGACCCTGAATCCTGGCTCCCAGACAAGCCGGGTGGGAGGTTCGAGGGAGTAATTGTGCGGCAAGACTGGGGGAAGGACCAAGAAACACATCGGTCCTCTGCGGCCTCCAGCCCAGAGCATCCGGAGTCGGGCCCTGGGGCGGTGCGGGGCGGCGGGCCATGCCCTGCAGGGGAGCGTGTGCGGCTGAGCCCCAGGCCTTGTGCGCACCTCTGCAGGGCTAGGCTCCGACTTGTGTTCTGTCAGAGGAGAGACTTGTTGCATTTGCAGCTAAGAAACCCCGGCCCTCCTTGTCCTTGATCGGTTCATGGCGGCCACATCCCCCTCCACCCCCAGTGCCTGCTGGCGGTAGCCCGGACACGTGGCCGAGGAGCTTGGGGGAGGGAGAAGGAACCAGGTGACATATGAAGGATGGACGATCTTGACCGTTAATATTCCAGTATACTACCACGGTAATGGAGTTTGCCCAGAGTTTGCTGGGATGCAGGGAAAGGCATCAGATGATCCGCAGTTCGGCCCTGCACTCCCGGCTGCAGACGCGGCCTTTCCACGAGCTGTGTATGCACCGGTTCTTTTGGGGAATCTTTTCCAGATGCTCAGGAGCTTTGCCAGCTTTGGGTGCTCCGAGTAAAGAAGTCCTAGGCTTGTCCCCAGAGACTCTATCCGAGGAGATCTGTGGCTGCCGCCTGCCCTCGTGACTTGCTGTTCTCTGCTGCCTACCCCAGAGGAAGAGGTGGCTTACCGGTAGCAAGCAGTGCAAGCTGCAGTTAGGACCTGGGGAGTGGGGGAAGGGGAGAGCTGGCCCTTGCGTTGTGGAAGAATTCCAAGGCAAACCTGGATTTTAAAAGGAGTTAGAATGAGAGATACTCTACAAAGAGGATTTTAGTTCCTGAACTTAAGGCACTGGTTCATTTGTAATGGTTGGTTTATACAGGGCGAGGAGATGTAAAGCACCAACAGTTGGAGATTGTTTTTTACCCTGTTCATTCTTTTTCCCTACAGCCACCACTCTGATGTTGGCACAGGCCTGCCATAGAATGCAAACCATTTTCTTCTCATTTCTTAGAACTCCTGTTAAGGAAAGAGTAAATCAAAGCACTTTTCTCCGGAAAGATCTGAAAGAAAATCTAAACTGGCTCGACCTTCTAAATTGTATTTTCAGAAATTCTTTAAATTAATTTAGAAGATCTATCAGAACAATGAACCTGCACTTATATAGCAACTGGATTGTTGTTCCCACTGCTTACTGGGGCCCCTATATACCTAAATGATCTTAAACCAACTAACAGTAATAAACCTAAGTGGAGAAAAATTGCATTGTGTCTTAGTTTAACAAGGAGAGCTGCAGCATTCTTTTTTCTGGGCCTGCTCAAAATGCAGGACATGTTTGAATTTCATTTTAAGGTCATCTATTTGTGGAGGCACTTGCACGACCTTGCATCTTTCTTTTCTTTTTAGCATCCACTAGGAAACTCAATGTGATCTGCAAAGGGAAAACAATCTCCTCCCAATTTAGTACTTACAGATTGGAGAAAAATGTTTTTTAAGAAAAGAAAAAAAGGTATAGAACAAAGCAGTTGTTACACAGTTGTCTCCAAATTCAAATACTTTATTCTAACTCAGAGCCATACTCTTACTTTACATACACGATTACTAAACTCAGTTTTGTTACTTAGTCCATTGCAGAGTAGAAGCAAAAACAAGACTGGGAAGCAGTGGCAGTAGCCTCAGATGCAACAGAGTCTAACATAAAAAGTAAACTAAAATAATAGACATTATAATGAGTTACTACAATTATAAGTGATAATTACAGAGGAAAGGCTTATTTATGGTGTGTGCCCTCTCTGTTCAAGGCAGAGGAGTATATTTTTTGTACTAAATTGCCACAGAATGCATAAGCTTATTTCAGTAAGTATAGCTACTTGTTTCAGTTATCCAGAAAACTCTTCTGATTATCTGATGACACAGATAAATTTGGTGTTACAGAATAGAATGTTTTCCAACAAGTTTCAATTTTTTTTTTTAACTGCTTGGGGGCTTTGTTTTGGATGGTTGGAAAGAAACTGATTCAGAGACTGATATTCTCCTAATATGACCCCCTGAAAGGAAAATGTATTAAGTATCTGTCCACCTTCCAAGGTGCACTAAGAGGAATACAGAGTGATATTTTTGCAGACTTTGCACGAACAATATTCATCACCATTTTACTGTCATTATGTATTTATTAAGTATGTCTGGTACACTATGGCACGTTATGTGAAACAAAGTCTCTATCTTCCAAGACTCACAATAACCATTAGTATGAGAAATTATATTTATAACTGGCCATTAGTTCTTTTTGACCAAGCTTAAAATGGGTTAATACGGGGCCCAAACTTAGTTTACACAGTTTCATATAAATTCTTTATGGGGAAAACAGAAAGAAATCAGCTAATTTAAATATAAATACTCATGTCTACAAGACAAAATGGTTACAACTTATTAAATACTCACCTGGAATCATAGGCTGAAGAGAACCCCAATTCTGATGGACTTTGTGGATTTTTTTGCCTTACATTTTCATTTAAATGGGTCGCATAGTTCTTAAAAATATATTGTTTCTAGAATATCATTAGGTTCATTTTAAGTTTTACTTTAGTTCAAAATTGCAACGGTAACATTTTAAGGATGATTTCCATCCAGATTTCATATGTGGATACATATATAATGTTTTGATTCTTTTCTTGCAGTGCACAATGGCAACTCTTAAGGAAAAACTCATTGCACCGGTTGCAGAAGAAGAAGCAGCCGTCCCAAACAATAAGATCACTGTAGTGGGTGTTGGACAAGTTGGTATGGCGTGTGCTATCAGCATTCTGGGAAAGGTACATTTCAAGAGCACCATACATGATAGACAGTTTCAGCGTGTGTACACAGTCTGGGCACCTTGGGAGTTTATCATATTTTTAAAAGATATCTTTTCTTGGCCA